ACTTAATTTTCTGGAAAAAATTCAGGGGTGCCAACAGTTTCGGCCATGACTGTAGCTTTGTTTCTTAGAAGAGAAAAATGACAATAAATAGTGTTTCAAAGTATTTTTATGGATGTTTTGTTGACTCTATTTAGATATAGGATATTTTTTATGTACAGTACTTCAGTGAAGTGATTCTGCATTGCTGTCCTGCCTAGAGCTTTTGCCCCCCATGGAAAATTTTCAAGATCTGCCACTGGGTGGTGGTTCCTCTCTTTAAAAAAGGGGACCGGGAAGGTGTGCTCCAGTTACAGGGTCATCACTCTACTTAGCCTCCCCATTAAGGTCTTTTCAAGGGTTCTGGAGAGGAGATCAATAGTCGAACCTCAGATTCTGGAGGAACAGTGCGGGTTCTGTCCTGTCTGTGGAACATTGGACCAGTTCTTTACCCTCACTAGGGTCCTTGAGGGGTCATGGGAGTTTSCTAATCCAGTCTACGTGTTTTGTGGACTTAGAGAAGGCATTCGACCGTGTTCCTCGGGGTACACTGTGGGGGGTGCTAAGTGGGTATGGGATTGTGGGTCCATTGTTAAAAGCCATTCAGTCTCTATACAACCGGTGCAAGAGTTTGGTTCGCATTGCCGGTAGTAAGTTGGACCCCTTCAGAGTGGGAGTTGACTCCACCAGGGCTGCCCATTATCGCAGATTCTGTTCATAACTTACATGGACAGAATTTCTCGGTGCAGCCAGGGGCCGGAGGGAGTCCGGTTCGGTGGCCTCAGGATTTAATCTCTGCTGTTTGCAGATGATGTGGTTCTGTTGTCGTCATTGCGTCATGATCTTCAGCTCTCACTAGAGCGGTTCACATTTGAGTGTGAAGTTGCTGGGATGAGGATCAGCACCTCCAAATCTAAGTCCAAGGTRCTCAGTCAGAGAAGGCTGGCTTGCTCTCTCCGGGTTGGGAGTGAAGTTCTGCCTCAAGTGCAGGAGTTCAAGTACTTTGGGGTCTTGTTCATGAATGAGGGAAGAATGGAGCATGAGATTGATAGATGGATCAGTGCAGCTTCCGCAGTTTAGCAGACTCTGTACTGGTCTGTTTTGGGGAAGAGGGAGCTGAGCTGTAAGGCAAAGCTCTCCGTTTACGATCAGTCTACGTTCATACCCTCACCTATGGTCACAAACTTTGGGTAGTGACTGAAAGAACAAGATCACAGATACAAGCGGTCGAAATGAGTTTTCTCTGCAGGGTAGCTGGACTCTCCCTMAGAGATAAGGAAATAAGTTCAGTTATCTGGAAGGGACTCAGATTAGAGCTGCTGCTCCTCCACATCGAGAGGAGCCAGTTGAGGTGGTTTGGATATCTGGTAAGGATGCCTCCTCGACACCTCCCTAGGGAGGTGCTTCAAGCATATCCAACTAGGAGGAGACCCCGAGGAAGAACCAGGACACACTCTAGTGGCAGAGCCAGACATTTTTCTCAGGGGTGGCCAGGAAAATTACATAATTTTTCACCTGAAGGTATCTGCAGATCTTTGTGTTTTGGTCATTTCCTCACGTATTTATACAGGCAGTGAGTACTTTATAAACATGGGTGTTAGAACCATTTTAAAAGTGGGGGGACACACTGTTGGGGGGTCTGGGGGTCCTCCCCCAGAAAACTTTGAACCAAATAGATGCCATTTCCTGCATTCTGGTGTACTTGGTTGTTTAACATACTTTTACCTACATAAATAAAGACTTGATTTAATAATTATTTCAGAGACAGATTCTTCATTAAACTACTTCCA